TTTGCCAATCCCCAATGAGCACGTATGGGTGATTGGTAGCTTGTATGAGGGCCAGCAGCCGGGCCAGGATGGTGGCGTTGGTGTCACTTTGCAGGGTCTCACCAGTTTTCATGTAGATTCCTGCCACTAGGATGGCGCAGTCCGTTGTCTAAAGGAAAGCTTGGTAACCGCAACCTTGGTTGGTGAAAGATTCCAAAGCCGTGAGTCCGCAGGAGGGATCTCCTAGCGCGAGGATGCCACCATGTGTTCCAGTGTTGCTGTCATTGGCCATGGCCGGTGTTCCAAAGGCGGTCCTGCCCCTGATTGTGAAGTATTGGCAGGTCTGCTGGTGTTGTTGTGGATCAAGATGTGTTTCCACCAGGATGTAGACTTCACTTTGCCGAGACCAATACCAATCAAGAACCTGTTTGCCAAAGTTCGTGACATTGGCAAAATGGAGCTGGTTGTGCTGCTGCTCTAATCGAGGTCGTTTCTCCGGGCTTGGGTGGAGAGGAGGATCAAAATCTGGTTCTTCCGGGGGTGGCAATGAATGAAGTACTTGCTGTGTGGTTCTGAAGGTGTCAATGTGTACCGCCCAGACTTGTGTGACCTGACTGGCCAATTGAGGTGTCAGGTGTTCCAGGTGTACGGGCGGCTTGCCGTCATCAGCAATCCACATCAGATCTCGATAGATGAGTATTGCAAAGTAGTGCCCTGTGTTGTGGCTTGGCCCTCTGTGGCAGATCAATGCCGCTGGAACAAACTCCGAGGATGTCCTTGCAAACCCATCCAGGGATCTCGGTACAGTGAACGTACCATAGGTGTTTAGGATCTTGGAGTGCTTGGTGGGTGTGCCATCAACCGTGGTGTTTCTGGCGATGTGGCTCACCAGCGCCGGCTTGTCATCCTTGAGGTACTGCCCAAGTCCTGTGTTCGCCCATCCATTGAAGAGATCCTGTAGATTGGTGCTGTCCGGCCAGTTATCTGGATATGGGCTCAATATGGGCTGCTGAATGTGGTCAGTGAGATAACCACCTGGTTGGATTTCGGCAAATCTGTATTGGAAGGCTCTGGATTGGGACAAGTTCCACACTGTATTGACAAAGTGGTTGGCATCACCCTGGATGTTGAGGTTGCGTTTTTCCCACAGTGGCTTCAATCCTGGCAGTTGCTGGATGTCGACTGCTTCTGCCAACTCCAGGGATTCTTGAACTGCCGCTTGTAGATTGCCCCAGGGTTGGGTGTTCGTCTCCTGCAAGAGGGCGCATGTCCAAGTGAAAGCTCTCCATGGAGCATTGGCATAGCACCTGGCACTTGGATTGCCAACTGCCATTGTGAGGTTCTGGAGGATGCCATTGTGAGGTTCTGGAGGATGCATTCTGTCGTTGATGCAAATGTGGTGTGCATCGTAGCCTCGTGTTGGACCCTGTGTGCACAAGCTTGGATGCCCTTGCCGCCACCTTGAATGGCTATGACTTCAGGCCCAGGTGCTCCAGGCAGCTGCCCATCCACATTTGGAGGCAGAGCAAAACCGTCAAAAGAATCAAACCTGAGGGTTTGGAATGAGTTTGTCCTCAATCTGGTCAAGAGTGTTGTCCCCTGCACTTCTGTTTGAGGTGTTCCCATAAGGTAACTGTTCGTGAGAAAATTTGTTCAGGTGTGAATGTGTCTCTTCCCCTGCGCATTGCGTCACCTGTGCTCTGTCCCCGCACGCTGAGCTTGAGGCAGCGCGGCAATCCATATTGGAAGGTGGTGCCCAATCAAAATCATCAAGGGGAACTGGCGCCTGAAGCCCTTGAAAGCCCTTGATTGTTTTGCGCTGCGCCTGGGATCGTCTTGCTCTGGGTTTGGCCGTTTAAGGAGGCCATGGAGCTGCGTGCGCTGCTCTGCTGCGAGCTCGATTCCAAGGCTGGTGACGAAGGTTTCCACAGCCATGGGAATGGGCAGTTCAGGATCTCCACACTCAAGTTCAGCAGGCGGCGGTGTCTTGTTGACTGCCTGCGTGTATTGCTCGGAGAGGGTTTTAAGCTTCTTCTGCCCTTCAGTGAGCTTGGTTTGATGCTCCTGCATGTCTTGAAGCATGGAAGCATATTGGCTCTTGACTTGATCCAGCCGAGTTTGGAGCTGTGCCTTCTTCATGGAGATAGTCTTGAGCTCAGTGACTTGTGCCTTGAGTTTCTGAGCAATTGCCTTTTCCGTATCCGGAATCTTGTTGACAACATCTTGAACAGCCTGAGGAAGTTCTTTGAGGTGGGTCTGAAGAATTTCTTCGAGCCCTGGTTCCTCTTGTGGTGGCGGGCCAAATCCAAGCGTTTGCAGCTTGGAGTGAATTTCGGTTGGGATGACCTCCCATGTACTGGCAAGGAGCTCCACTGCTGTTGGATTTGGCATGCTCTTCTTGAGGGGCTTGAGTCGATGAAGCCCGGGTGGTTTGTCCAAGATGTCTGAGGTCTGACTCGAAGGCCAGTTCCCACTACCATCGGTCTTGTTGGCTGGTCGCCCTTGGCCTTTTCCTTTTCCAATGCCTGTTCTGCTAGAGGGCCACCACGTTCCGCACTTGCGGCAGCGCGTGTCTGGCTTCACCTTGTCGCTCCAAATCCAGTTGGTGCACTTTTGACACACCACATAGTTCCTGCACCAGGAGGAAGTACGGTTGGCTGTCATCGTACAGGATGATGAGTTCCTCAGTGGCCTGGAGGTAGCACAGGTTATTGGCAAGGTTCAGGGCCCGCTCTGTGTTCTGGTCGAAGGAGCTAGCAGGGTTGAAGTGCCAGTGACCTCCTGGATCAAGTGCAGAGCGAGAAACTGCCAGGTGCCGTAGGGGTCGACAGTAATGGCCAAGAGGAAGATCAAGATCACCAGCAAAGAAAATGTTGTAGCTGAGGATCTCGATGATCGGGCTGGTGTGGTTCTCCCCGCTATGTTCGAAAGGGGGGTCCTCACTAGCAGGTCTTCCTGGGCAGCCTGCTTGAACCACTCGTGGCTTGAGCCATGTATGTATGTATGTATGTACGTATGTATGTATGTATTAGTGTGTACATATATATATATATACACACCTACACAAGTGTATAGTTGTACACATGTCATTATCAGTCTCACGGTGTTGGGCTTGATCTGAACATCCCGGACCAGAACCAGCCCAGTTTAATACTTGATCTGCAAGTAGCATAATTGGCTCTGAATAGTGGCCACCATCAAAGCGTCGGCGGGCCATCCATGAAAGGCGCCTTGTGCTGATTTCTGCAATTCAACAAATGCCCGATGATTTTGCCACGCAACTCGCCACACATCAGCTGCAATGTCTCTGAGTCTGCAACAAACCTTTCAGATACGCTTCGTCGCAATCCGCAAACGTCCTCGAAAAGCGTTACGCGCGAGGAAACCATTGATGTGGTGAATTATCTGCATCATAAATAACAATACAACTCATAAATAGCAATACAATGACGGTATGATGTGTTGCACTAGCTGCAATATTTGTCGTAAATGCATTCGCTAGGGAAACAATATGGACAGCGTCATTGGTTCCACTCACAACATGTCCTGTTGGGACTGTTGAAGGGGTCTTTGCTTGAGCACCTCAATGCAAGAAACACCTCACTGACATTGCGCTTTTGGCCCTTTGCCATGCTGCACTGCAGCTGCGCTATCTTGCCACTAAGACGAACACCCAGCTGCCATCACGACAGCTTCCACTGTGCAGCCCCAAAGCCTCTCAGTCTCAGAAGCAAATATGTGTATATATATATATATACGGGAAGCGAAGAAGGATACTGACTCAGTGCGTACATTCTCCCACCTGTATCATTAAACGAATAAGCTTTCATCTGCAACAGCAAATGTACGAAAGACTGAAATTGAACTCCTGAGAAAGTGACATTCCAAACCAAATCAGTCGGCACGGACCTCACAATGTAGTGTGATGTACCAGGCAACATGTGTCGCACAACTTGAGAGAGGAGGGGGTGAACGAAAGGTAGCAAGCAATCACAAGTAACCCTGGTAGAAGTCCATGACGGCGTGAACCGGCGCAGGGTGGATTTGATCCAGGGGGGCCCCCCCGACGAACAGAATCATCTCTTACAGGACCAAACTCAATGCACAATCCCAACTCCTGATTGTAATACATTTTTGCTAAAGCAAGGAGAACTCAGGTAGCTCAAGCTACCTTTCGTGACTTGTATTCATGGAATCCGCAACATTCATAAATGATGATATAGAGTGTGTGCCCTGATATTTACAGTGTGAGGAAGAATGGCTATACCTGGGCGGCATATTCCAAAATTGGATCCGCGTCTGGAGGACGTCCCCAACACAACAAATAGTGCGACACCCCAAAGCCAAACATCTTGAAACAATGTCCAGTTTAATGTTCAAACACATGCTCTTAGCGTTTACTTGCACGCCTTCGGAACCCCTCTGATCCTGAAACATTGCAGCGACCTGAATGAGTCTGACGTTTTAAGAACTCTCGTAAGCAGGTTTCAATACTTCAGTAGGCGATAAAGTTGAGCCACTCACCAACTTCAAGTGGGAGGCCGTCTATAAGCATGCCTGGAACAGTCGCAAGAATATGGAAACATGAGAACATAGCTCAAAAAGTTGTTGGGCTTGGCAAAGGCAAGCTGGAAGGCATGTGCGGTCTTTTCGTGCTGACATTCTGCGGTTCTTCGGAACTGAAAGAATGAAACAAACAATCTGGCAGCTGTGTCCCTCCAGAGAAAACAAAAAATAAAGCATACTGTTCACATGTCATTTCACTATACAGGTCCATTACTTACACTGGGCCGGTGTCTGAACTTAGAAAATTCCAGAATGGTGGGGAGTTCAGTCGAGAAGCGCGCTTTCAGCGCCGGGGATAAAGTTGTTACGTTGACAACATTTACAGCAATCAAATGAAAGCAGGCGGCAACAAAACTGAGCAAAATCAATGTGGTTTTGACTCTTGACAGTGTTCATCATGGTCTTGTTTCAATGCAAGGCTTTTGGACAGCTTTGTTGAAAACCTGTAATGGCACTGGGATAGATTGCTTTTTTCGCTGCCGCTTAACTATTGAGAGCGCGTACTTTGGCGCTCCCAGGGATCAAAGGCTCTCAGACTTGCACTTGCGGCACCTTGGGACATGAGGCAAAACACTGCTAAACTTCGTAAGTCTTCTTTCTCAACGGGGTAAGCCTTGAGGAGGTAAGAGTGTAAGAGTTCGGTAACCAGGTATTGGGAGTAACCGATTCTTTCATGTATATAGGTTTAAAATGGTTCAAACTTAACCGTAATTGTCAGTAGGAAATAATGTAAAAATATCTCAGTTGATAAGTTTTTTCTAAAATACAATCAGAAATGTGTTGTCCTTCTCTACGCTTGGGTTCTTCAAGGAAAGAGAGAAACGTTTTTTCAGTTTTCAGTTTTGAAGGAATATTTATGGTTTAATAACGTTTATTTTGCATTATTTTTGTAAAACGTTTATATATGTCTTAAATTGTTGTTTATTAAAAACATGTGTTTGTTTCTTCCAAGTTGAGCTGACAGCACTCGGACAAAATTTAGATGGTACTGGAATCTCTCTGTCCAGACTGCAATGGGCTGTACGATGTTGGGAGTTTCTATAGTTCTGTCGTGTGAGCATGTAAATAGCAAGGTCCATGCGTCATGGTGAGTATCTGCTATTCCCTCTTTTTCGGCTCCTGTGATCCTGGGACCCCCTGCCACTTTCGGGCCTTCACTCTTTTTAAGTTACTTTTTTTGAAATTGTATAAATTTGCCCACAAAGCACTGACATAAATGGACTTTGTTAGCTCTTGCTGCTCAATTTCACCCATGCCTCCTTGGTAGTCGTCAAGTTCTGGGCAACGGGTCACATTCGCCTCGTCAGTTGTATATATTTTTACTTGAGGCCAGAGGGGGTGAACGAAAGCTAGCCCGGCCTCCTCGTCCAAACAAGTCGGGGGCGGGCTGCACAGTCACTCTCATTGGGTAACTGCCGGTCCACTTGCAAGTCCCGTGGGAAACTCTAGAGAAGCAGTGTTAGTATGTGCTTTGTGGTGCGTCGAGTCTCATTCAGTAAGCAACTGCCACCTGACAGGAGCAGGTTTTGTTTGGTGCCCCCTTTCCATCACTTCTTTGGCTTGGCTTTTCCAGCGGTTGCTGTGCCGCAGCAGCAGCAGCAGCAGACCACCCAGCGGCAGCAGCAGCAGCAGCAGCAGCAGCGTACCAACCAGCGCCGCAGCAGCAGCAGAGCACCCAGCGCCAGCAGCAGCAGCAGCAGCAGCAGATCACCCAGCGCCAGCACCAGCAGCGGCAGCCCACCCAGCGCAGCAGCAGCAGCACCAGCAGACCTCCCAGTAGCAGCAGCAGCAGACTGCCCAGCAGCAGCAGCAGCAGCAGACCCCCCAGCAGCAGCAGCACAAGACTCAAATGACACCGCCTGACTCCACGCCGTAACTAGTCGCGTACGCGGGGTAGGGCTATGATGCAAGAAATGCCGCCTGCACATAGCACCCAAAAAGGTATTACTGTCCAATGTAGCTCCTGCTGCTGCTGGGTGGTCTGCCTTGGCTGCGTCTCCTGCTGCTGCTGCGGCCGCTGCTGCTGTTGTGTTTGCTGCTGCTGCTGCTGCTGCTGGTGCTGCTGCTGCTGCCGCTGCTGCGCCGGGCGCTGCTGCGCTGGGTGCTCTGCTAGCGCCGGGTCGTCTGCTGCTGCTGGCGCTGGGTGGTCTGCTGCTCCTTTGTGGTTTGCTGCAGCTGCTTGGTGGTAGACTGCAGATGCTTGGTGTGCTGCAGCTGCTTGGTGGTCCCGCTCACCGCGCGCAGGGGGGAGTCGAACCGCGGGGGGGGGGGGTCCATAAGATTGATTTAATCAATTATTTGAGGTTTCTGGGGCGCGTCCACCCCGTCACTTAACTTGCTAAAGCAAGAGCAACTCCAGCTAGCTAAGGCTAGCTTTCGTGACAAAAAATGTATATGCATATGGTTGGTTTCCAATATGTTTTTCCCAAAATGGCCAAAATGGTGCACTCGTCGCAATTCCATGGGGGCCCGCTTCTAAGTCTTCATTAAGCTCCAACCACACTCAAAGCACAGGGACGTTAACATGAAGGCGTGTCAACTGCAAAAGCTGTGAGAGGTGGACCTTTTCACGGGCCTGTTGAGCTGCTGGAGCTGCTGTTGTTGCTGCTACTGCTGCTGCTAGACTTCTGCAGTTGCTTCCAATTTTTAGTTCCCAGAAACCTTCAGAACGACATAGAAAGGACGTAAAAGCTGACTCAAAAGATTTGGGTGTTGGACGGGCAGATGGTCAAGAAATGGACCGTCGTCTAGCGCGGTGCTAGCGCGGATCTAGCGCCAGCCTAGCGCAAAAATATCCGTCGATTTCTTTATCCTGTTAGATTTTTACTTGCTTGTCTGCTTCTTGTTGTGCATTCTTCTTCTTCTTCTTCTTCTTCTTGTTTGCTTTTCCTTTTTCTTGTCTTGCTTTTTCTTTTTCCTGCTCTTTGCTTGATTCTTCTTTTTCCTGCTTGCTTATCCTGTTATGAAGAAACCTAGCGCCAACCTAGCGCCAATCTAGCGCTGCCTTGCTGTATCACCATAGTCTGCTGGGCCATTCTGGGCGCTCTGCCAAAACGCTCTTGTGAATTCGTTAAATTGACAAAATGCAACTAAATGAGATGGCCTCCAACCTAGAAGCAATGGCCTCAGACCTACTAGCGATGGCCTCCACTCCAACCTGAACGAACAAAATGCAACAAAATGAGATGTTTGCAGCTGCCAGCATTGCCCAGGATCTGCACACGTCTTGGAGTCATCTTTTCCCATGCTGGGACGGAGGGTGCGAAGGGGACCAGCGGTGTTGGAGGTGTTGCCGGCGCAGGTACTCTGGCCAGCTCACGGTCCTGGCGACATAGGATACAGAAGATACAGATAATACAGAAGAAGCATGAATCAATGAAGAAGCCAAATTCAAGTCGTCTCAGCCTGTAGGTCGATCTCAAAATGTTGATTTATTGGCTACAGGCTGTATGATCTGTATGACCCATTTCAATCATTCCCTAAAATCAGCGAACTCCTCATCCCCAAGCTTCTCCGGCATAGAGCTACCTTCACGAGAGGGCCTGAAATTGTCAAGTGTTGTTTGAGATTATTGGGAAAGCATCAAATACCCAAACAAATTGTACGAGTGCAACTGACAAACTGACAAGTGCATTGGATAGTGATTGATGAATCCAAGAAGCCTGTCGTCTTTGGTGAGGTCACCCTTGTGAAAGTAAGCAGCAACTGCAATATACTGCAATGTAGTGATACAGCATGCTGAGTGCAACAAGTCAGGCGGATTTCCAAACCGCAGCCGAAGCACTAAGACACTTGGTCCATTTGGTGGCTGTTCTCGAACGACTTGCCTGTGGTCCAGTTGGCATGAGACGCACATGGGAAAGAAATCGATAAACTAAGAGAGGAAATAACGAAATGTTATTGGAATGTTGTCTATTGTGATCAACTAAACTGTCATGCAAACTGGTGGCGAATGTAGTGGAACTCTTGAGGTAGGAGTACCTGCTCGCCTTGGAAACGGGATCATGTTGTACAAGCACACAGTGATCAAAGGAAAGCGTCGCATCTTTGGTCCATCTCAAGGACGATACACGTGGTGAAGATTGTATCGTGGAGGATTGCTGAATGCACGATGCAAACACGTCGACAAATTCAATAAAGTTATACAGTAGTTTATATAACTGGTTGACAAGGCACAAAGAAATGCACGGAATCTGGGTCTTCAGGTTGTGTTGGGCAATGATAAACGGCGGAAAGGGCGGCTGCACCGTGCCCCTCTGAGTCTGCACTGGTGTAACAGGTGCGAGTAACGGTGTGACAGCCTGTATCTGCTGAGGTGTTGGGATTGGCCTTGGTGTTTGTCTTGGTTGTGTACGAGGAGTATCCTGGGATGTTGCCAAGCTTGGAGGCATCCTTCGCATCGGTGTCGCGATCAATCTGGGACCGCCGTGGCAGTGAGGGGATACAAAAGGACTGGCAGTCACCGCTGTGGCCGTGGCCTGGAGCTGAGGCTTTTGAGGGAATTGGGGCAAAGGCCGCTGAATTTGGAGAGGTGCTTCGGGCCTAGGTCGTGGTGGCGATTGCTGTCTGGGGGGTTGCCAAGAGTGCCAAGGCTGAGCCTGAGAAACTGCAAGGAAAACATCTAATCTTAATCTTGCAAATATTTGCAACTGATAGTATTGACCAACCAAAAACAAAAATGATTTGCCAGTTGAAGTAATTGAACTTTGCAAAATCATGTGAATGTTTCTTCATGTTTCCTGCCTGCATCCTTCCAAGAGAAGCTTCCCCGCCAGGAACTGGCTGTGGAGCCTGCCACATCAGCGGCCTCGAAGCCATTGGTCGTGGAGAAGGCACTTGAGAAGGCACCGGAGGAGAAGCCGCTCGACTCGACACGTGAGGAGAGCCAGTTCGAAGGGACGGTTTGACACCATTCGCCACGTTCACACAGTTCTGAAGCACCCGCGGTGTGGGAAGGAGATTTGGACTGGGCGATCTTGGACGAGGTGAAGGTGAGGGCGACAAAGGCCGTGGTGAAGTGCCTGAAAAACAAACGATTCCACATGCTGCGGTTTCTTTGAATACCTTTCAATTGTGTCCAGAAACCATGCTACTAAAGCATGTAATGAATATTCAAGTTCAACCCATGAATCCTCAGACATTTACCCTGACGTGACTCAAAAGTGATGTTTGCATTACCTGCATCTTTAAAACATTGAACGCACACAATCCCCGACCTTGCACTAGCAGCGACCCCGGCCGCCGAAGCAAGGGAAATGTGTGGGGGGATGATGACCGCACTCGAGCCTGGTGAGTTTCACAAACAAAGCTGAAGCGCTTGGTAAAGTTTCATGACTCAAGAAACCTTGCTCGATCGCATCAAACCAACCAAGTTAACCAAGAGCATGGAACAGCAGCCAAAGGGCCACAAAGTGGCCAACCAGGAAATGCACGAAATGCTGCTCACGGTCAGCCCTTCACACTAATTGCCAGGTGGAGCGGCGTGCCTCAGCAGGTTTTGGGGCAACCATGCCGGCTTGCTCATTGAGATGCACGGGTGGAGCAGTCTCCCTGCTTGAGGATGAAAAAGAATTCAACCTTGGAAGTGCTCAGCAAAAGTTGGCTCTAGACTCTAGACAAAATAAGTGCAACTGCACCCTTTCTCAAGCAAACATGCTTCTTTCGGGCGTCTCAGCATTTCCTGTCACTGATGGAGCCATGGGTCAATGTATGGTCAACGGATTGAATAACTGATGTTTTCAATGACCACCTTGAGGGGAATCGAAGCGTATAGTAGCAGGCGTGTCCAGACCCACAGATAAGATTTGCTTAAGAAGTGCTTTTGGTACAGTGGGACTGGTGAAAGCATAAGGCAGTTCTCTACCAGTGGCAAAAGCGCACCCCCGCACCGCAGTTTTCGCAGCAGTGAAACAGTACCACATATTGCAGTATGCACAATAGAGCACTTGCCATACCTATAGCCCAAATATATATATATATATATACACCTAACATCAGCTAACTGCAGGTATAAACCGGCTGACATGGCAATCATATTGACTGCTTGAAAACACCTCCTTGAGTACTAAATTCTCCATCCACCACATTGGACCTAGTGTGAACCCTGCTGATTGACATTTGGAACTATAGTGAGCATGCGTGTAGCTACGGGTTACATACTGTTGGCACATCAGCACATCCACATCACAAATCCCTTTACCACATCACCACATTGCGTTTTATCCTCGATCAGTTCACATGTTACAAATCGCTTCAAATACCATTATTCCCTACCAACTGTGGCACACTTTGTTACCTCCCAAAACAGGAATGCAAAACCGCAAAAGATCTCCGATCGGAGGTCAACTCAAAGAGGTGGAGACCAAAGTTTTTAGACCGCCTTGAACGTATATTATATGCAGTGCACAGCAACCTACACCCCTCTTTGCAATCGCCAGCAAAAGTTGCGCGATGGTGCACACTGCAGGGTGCACTTGGCTGTCAGCCAGAGGTAGATGTTCTAGAGTCCTAGATGGCTATGGGCCACACCCCAATTGGGCCTGGCCACGACAACAAGCCCGGCCTCGACCACAGCTGTAAGCTGCGGCTTGTGCAATTTGTCTGCTTGAATGAAGCTGCCGTCGTCTTTGATCTGTGCTTGCAGGTTTTTGTTTGGGGAGGGTCAGCGAATCGTGGTCTTTGCCTTAATGCCACGACCATCAGGTCCAACCAAACCCCATCGCAGGTTTTCTGGGCCATGTGAGCTTTTGACAGTTGCAGATAGTGTGAACGGTTCATTGCAAATTCAAACGACGGATCGGCTAAGGTGACTCCTACCCGCAAACGACATGACCCTACAGTATGTTCAGGGAGCCTGTCGCTACTCAATCCTGAATTGCGCATAATTACGCAACTTGACAAAGTCAACAAACCATCGGTTGCACTCCCCAATGTATATAAGTGCGATAGAAGGAAGGCGAAAATCAGCCCCAAGCATCCCCGCCCCACACACTGAATTTTAGGGCCACCCTGCAAAATTCGGAGCTTCTCACACTCTCACTTTCAAGCACTCACAACCCCTGCGGAACCAAAGTATATATATAATACTATATATATATATATGTGATTAATTGTTATTGTAATTATATGTGTTTATTTAATTATCTTAACGTTTCGCTGCACACCTATATATATATATATGTCCAATATATATATATAACTCTGATGTCTCTCAACTGAACTTCCTCTGAAATGATGCAGTAATGTAATTCGACACAGCAATGACATCATCATATCCGTCGATTCAATCCATCCCAGCAACCAATCACGCTGTGGAGCTGCAGGTGCGACCTGCAAAAGACACCAGTTGAAAAAGCAATCACGATGATTCACTTTGTCAGGTTTGACCTGATGGATTGAATGCACGCAGTACCGTTTACTCTGTCACAGCCTGTACGGTTCCGCCGATGACAGCTACCAGCTTTGTTTCAGCCTGGTTCGCTTGCTGGATTCTTAGAAACTCCTTTCATTCGTTTGCGCAACTGTAGCTGCTGTAGCCATCAATGCCACTCAATCACTGCGATCAACGCCTGCGAAAAGCGCCAAAGGCCCATATCTGGAGGGGCAATTCTTGGCGCCTGACTGATCGACGCACGCACAGGCTGATAGGAACAGAAGCCTGCTTCAAAGTCTTTCTAAGTGAGCACTATTGTCTATTGTTGTGAAGACATGGAAGGTCCAGGCTGACCTTTGAACTTTGAACAAACATGTCCCGGTCCAGCTTGCCAGCCTTCTGATTCTTATCTGTGCTCTCCGCAAAGGTTTTCCTTGCAAATGTTGCAAGTTGAAATTCGTCAGCAAGGTTGCACTTCAGTCGACATGATTACTGATTACTCTTAAAATGTGCTGCTGTTGCATGAAGCTGAGCCAATAAGCGTCATCTGTTTCATACACTCCTGAACGCTCCAACAGGTTCAGGAAGTATATTAGATGTCGATGATGCTTGTAAGATCCAGCAAAGTAAACAGAAAGCTACACATCTGGCCAGATGCTTTCAGTCCGGGTAGAGTCCGGGTAGAGTTCAGAATTCAGTGCTCAGTGATGCCAGTGCTGTAAGACCTACCTTCTCCCTGCCAGGTCTTGCCGACTTGAATGATATCACAGTGCAAATACATGGCCTTGAAAAAAAAGTTGAAAAGCACCCTCTTCAAACATGACCAGACTATACCAGACTCGCCAAAAGGCATTGCACGATGATACCATGATACTTGTGACTTGTGAATGCAAAATCAACATATATATATATATTATTATGATGCAACTATCTGATCAAAACCTTCACGATCTATCACGATCTGCTGCACATCCCACCCATCCCACCTCAACCAATTTCGATGCAACTCGGAAGACTGACTTACTGCTACTATTCCACTAGTCACTAGTCACACCAAGTGTCTCTGTTGCGATCTGATGTTCAAGGTTCATTATTCATTTGTCTAGACCCTGCGAGGAACATTGCGGTATAGATCAGGGATCAGCAGGGCAAATCACTCTAGGACTCTGCGATAGTTTTCTACAAATAGCCGGTTCTAGTGTCTTCTTCAGGCCTTTTCTTGCCAGGCTTCTTTTTTGGGGGGGTGACGCAGGGAAAATGGAGAGAAGAACCAAGTCATCTCCTGCTCCTGACAAGCATGCAGCAGACACAAAAGGGCGACAATGCACTGGAATTGGGAAGTAACAAATCCATCGTAGGACATGACAAGACCCACTTCCATGGGGCAAGTGTAAGCTGGCTGTTTGGGGACTCAATGAAGGGGACACATCACTCATAAACACAACATAAACCAAGAGAAGGCAAACGGAGACAAAAGCAAAACTATCTCACTGCTAACACCGCAACACCATGTTTGCAAACATGAAGGAAGGCGGGCTAGGAAATAGACAACTATGGAAGGCAAGCGCAAATCCATCCTGAGACAGAGACAGTGTATAATATAATTATGTGCAAGTATTGAAACTGTGAACGGATGGAAAGGTGTGCCCTGGCCCCGTTCTAGCTCTTAGGTCAACATGAAGCTCGCGCGCTAAAGCTCCTTTTTACCTGGTTGGGCACTTGAGCCAAAATGTATATGGCGTGTACCTGTATAGCGACTATACTGGGACCCCATCCCTATTGACACCCCCCACATCCGTACTTCGACGGGGAAGGGAGATGAGTGGATGTAAAAACCGGAGAACGAATCACGTTCTCAAAAGTGTATTGGAGGTCAACCAGTATGTCCTATTGAATTGAATTAGCAAAAGATCTTGCATTCGCTTGAAAGTTGGATCAAACAGGCAATGGAGCTACAAGCGGAAAACGTGCACCTACCTATGGTATCATGCGATTACCAACGGTGTGAGACACAATCCTATCTCACTCCCATGATGCCAAAACGGTCATCATGAATTACCCGAGATCCCTCAGTACTTGAAGTACCGGAAGTGGCATGTCGGTATGACCCCAATGCTCAACCATTCGTGAGTTGTCGCATGTAGTCAGCGCCGACAAAGCCAATGTAGTCCTTGATGAGCTCAACGTTCCTTGGATTTCCCGCTCGGATCTGCTCCTCGAAGGACTTCAATTTCCTTGCTTGGATATCGGATACCTCTATGCCATAGTAGCGGCATGCAACGAGGATCTCCTTCGTGACATTCTTCCTCTCCGATTTGATGGCAGGACTAATGTCGATGAACTTGTATGGAGCGGCACTTTCGTCATCTGGTTTCTGGTAGTAACTATATCGGCTCGCTCCGAAGGTCTTCTTGATCATGCGTCTGATGAAATTTGAGATGAATGCCAATTTCTCGATGATCTCATCCTGGGTCTCAGACTTTCGAGCCTTTGGATCACTCATGCTACGCTGAGTGTTGCCGACCTCTTTGAGGTACTTGTGGCTAAGCCCGCAGCGGATTGCAGTGATCATCATCGGATGAACAACGTTGGCGTGGAATTCATAGATCTGCCACGCTTCTGCTGCAAACACGTCGTCGGTCCATCTGCTCATGCCTACGACCTCGTCTCTCTTGAGACGTCTTGGAAACCCAGTATCCGGATCTTTCGGTACTATTGGCCATCTATTGTGCGGAGTGTCATGCCGCTGTCCATCGTCGAACATTCGCAGTACATCTTCACGACTCTCAAAGCAGTTGATGTCGAACGTTGCGTTGGCCAAGCCCTTGATCAACTTCATCAACCTCAGATCAAATTGCTGTGTGACGGCAAAGTTGTGGTCGATGGGGATCGCAGCTTCTTGCGGCAATTCGTCAATTGCGAAGGGGAAAGGCTTCGGAAGTTCATTCCCGTATCCATCTTGAGGGACCTCCCGATACTCGGGTTCGCCTTCAGCTTCGTCCGGTCGTTCCTTCAAAATGATAGGAACTTCCTCCTCTTCCTCTCCTTCGGATTCCTCGATCTCAATGACCTCTTCGGCTGTCTTGCGTGCGTTCTTGATGACTTCATCGATGTTTGCACCTGCAGCAGAGGTTGTTTCACCGGAAGAACCGGCTGGGACATCTTTCGGAGGTGATCGTTGATTGCGGTCCCTTGTCTCCTTGGGTACCACATGTGTGAGCTTCCCATTCGCGATCAAAACCGCTACGCAGTGCGGACATATCGTCAATCGCACATCGACTTCGCCAAGACAGTTAGGACACGGCCTTGAATCGTAGTCTTTCATCGCTCGGCGATACACGATCTCCTCGAAGAGTTCCTGCCACTCGGTGTTATCATACTCTGGGTAAACGCCACTCTCCTCGATCATACCCAACAGCTTTGAGATTTTGGCGTCGTCCTCGGAGTAGGTATCGTCCTGAACCTCAACCGCTAAGCTCTCAAGCTTTTGAAAGCGTGGAATCATGATCGGGTTTCCGTATTTGGACTCTAGAACAAGGTAGCTTCCAGGGTCGGGTTCCCCACTGAGTAACCGGATCCATTCGATCTTCTCAGGCTGTCCGGGTTCCGCATTGTCGCATTGCAACCATGCCCCTTTAACCTCATCGAAGGGAACGACGTTCAACCAATAGAGAGCCAGTCGCTGAGATGAGAAGTCCGTACTCCTGCAGCTTCCACACCGGAATGTAGAGAACCACTGGGCGATCCCTCATTGCAACCTTACGACCCAGCCAAGGTTTACCCTTGTAGCCCTGCTCCCAGGCCCATGGCGGAAAGCATGTGAAGTGGATAGAATCCCTTCCCGATGAACCGAGACCTCCCGGCACTAGCCCTCGTCGCATGATTGAAGTCAGCGCTCCGAGATTGGTAGCGTGAAATGCAGTCACCATAGATAGGGCCATGTCGTTGGTCATTCTCGACCCAATGTGGTCGATGTCAATGGTAACGTCATAACCTCCGCCGTCCGTTGAGTGTGCCGAGGTTGCTCTTACAGCCACGGGAAAGCACCATCCATCGCTATGGTGGAGTCTTCCTTTAGAGATTCCCATGTCCTTGAGTTCGTTGATCCATCCCTTCTCCATCGGGTCATCAGGCTCATTGAGTTCATCAGGGTGAACGCGGACCGCTAACATTTGGAATCTGACCCTCTTGGTCATGCGGAAACACTCATAGTTTTGGTCGAAGTACTTCTCCAAACGCGCCTTCTTGGTCACGATATCTATGTTGCCGTAGTGATAACCGTCTTCCCAAACTGCATTATCACCTAACAGGTCTTCCCATGACACCCATGCGCCTTCATCGCATTTGATTGGTGCGAGTCTTCCTCCTGTCCTGAACTGGCGTCCAATTCGATGTCTCAACTTCGCTCCCAATCGACGACTCAGGGCCTGGCTCGTTTGGCTGTATTCACGTACTCGACAGTCTGGAGTCGGATACTTGTGGTTGCCGTAGTCGGAGTTCTTTGCAGCGAAAGTGACTCCGTTGATCGGTACTAGTTCAACTTTCCCGACCATCGTCATGGGGTCGATCGGCTTGTATCCCTTCTCCCTCCGTGTTGGTAGGGGGTAGAAGTGATGACATGCCTTTGGTGTGAGGGAACTGGAGTGCACAAATGCCTTCTCGACAAATTCATACACCTCTTTCATATCCTTAGGGCTTGCTTCCACAAGCTTCCGCCCATTGTAGGAATGTGGTCCTCCTTCGACTTCATCAGCACTTTCGATCAAGGTGAATCCGTCATGGTCGAACATTGTCACGACTCTTGCTTTTAACATTTCTTTGCGCCTGAACTCGCTGTCGACCTTTCTATCTGGAGTGGGCGACGCTCTCTGCTTCTTCTTCTTAGGCTGTTCGGTTGGATGTCCTGATGGTACATCGTCGGGTGCAACCTCTCCCTTCACTCTCTTCTTCCAATCACTCAACACCGAGGTGACTGTAGGTGAGGATGGAAGGGTCTTCTCGCAATTTAGAGTTGTGTGTCCCGACTCCATGCAGTGGATGCAGAATTCTGCCTGCCCGATCTTCTTCTCAAATTCGTCGATGGCATGCAGTATTGATGTCTTCGGGTCGGACATGTCAACGTCTTGCTCCTCCTTCTCCTGTACACATTCAGTCTCCATATCGACACCTTCGGCCTCGGGCTCGCCAGTGGCTCCTGTTCCCTGTTCTGGTTCTTTTCCGATTTCGAAGAAGTGGTCGATGTCGAATTCAGGAAGCGGCATAGTCCTCATGCGGACGAGAATCAGCGCCACGCTTGCCGCCTCATCAGAGTGCGGGTCCATGGTTCTAATCATCGATCGCTTTCGGTTCTCATATGTTGTCCTGTCGTACAGCGATGCAGTGACGCGTTTGATGGATTCCTCTAATCCCGTCCTCAAAGCTTCGATGTCACCCCATCTCCTGAACATGTGCCTGAAGAGTTGAGCAACTTCGAACATGCCCAGCAGCGCTTCCACCATGTCACCTACCCGTTCCTCCGTGGGATCATCTCCGAATATAGTGCGGAATACATCGGGTTCCAGTATGGTCTTGAGGTATTTGGTGTAGCATACGTTGCCAAGGTCATAGGATCCCTGGAAGTACTTGGCGCTGCCGACTTTCTGCTTTTCCACATGGATGCTGGGTCCTCTCCTCGTTTTGAAGAAGTTCTCCGTCATTGTTGATGACAACCTGATCCCCCCGAAGAACGAAATCTCCTTCTGGAAACCTGGATTCTCATTGAAGATGATCATCGCCTCGTGTAAAAACTTCATCAAGTCATCGTGCGGGTTCATCTCGGAGATTACGATGGTGGGAGAAGATACCGTTTGCCCCATGCCGAAGTTGTGAAGCAATCGAGCGCATGCATGAAATCGCTTCTGGACGTAGTCTTCTGCGGACATCCCACGGCATCTGTTTGCTGCTCCGTTGATGCATTCCGCGTAGCAATCGTCTTTCAACTCGAAGTCTATGGGATTGCAGAACAGACAGTAATCGCAGCAAATTTCCTCACCCTCCTTAAAGTCATCAATGACGTACCACCTTTGAGTCCTTGAGTATATTGGTTCTGGCTGAAGGACTCCCCAGTACTCATCCATCCATGGCATCTTGTTCTCTCTCCTTACCTTCTCCCTCTTCCTCCTCTCAGACTCATTCTCACCTGAAGGCTCCGCAGTGGACTGATAAGCATGGCTTCCTCTTACGGAATCTCCGAACAAGTACTGATACAACCTCTCTTTGTCCTGCAACACGTGTTCCAAGTTGGGATCA